CACCAGCAATGGATGAGTGTTTCTCTTATTCCACATCCTTGCCAGCATGAGCCGTCTATCACGTGTTATTGATCTTAGCCATTCTGACAGGTATAAGATGAAATCTCAAAATAATTTTGACTCCAAGTTCCCTGTTATTAAGGATATATTGACCATTTCTTCAAGTGCTTCTCAGCCAACTGCATTTCCTCTATTGAGAATTCTGCTTAGATCCGTACCCCATTTTTAAATTGGATTATTTGTTTTTTGATGTCTACTTCCTTGAGTTCTTTATATATTTTGGATATTAGCCCTCTATCAGATGTGGAATTGGTAAAAATCTTTTCCCATTCTATAGGCTGATGATTTGTCTGAATGATGGTATGCTTTGATATGTAGAAGCTTCTCAGTTTCTGAGGTCCCATTTAATAATTGTTGATCTTAGTGCCTGCACTAACAGTGTTCTGTTCAGAAAGTCCCCTGTGCCAATGAGTTCAAGGCTATTCCCCACTTTATTTTCTATCAGGTTCAGTGTATGCAGTTTTATGTTGGGGGGGGGGGCTGGAGTTAAGGAAGGAAGTTGGGAGGGGTAGAACTGTGGGATCCACATGATATGGGGGTAAGGGGAAATGGAAGCCTGGAGTGGGTGCTTTGCTGCAGAGCTTGGGGTAAGATTGAGAGACTGGGTCTGGAGGGACAGAGGGAGAGGTGAAGGTCTGCAGTCGGTCTACCTGGTTCCCTGGCAGGGGTGGCTTTTGGGTTAGCTGGGAGAGCTGCTGGGTTTGGGTCACAACCCAATTTTAGAACATCATGATCATCTCTCAAAGAGGCACTACCTGTCCCCATTTTCCCGCCTTTACATCTCTGAGCACCCTCTAGACCTAGGAAACAGCCAATCAACTCTTATCATCCACTTTTGTCTGTTACAGTGATTTGCTATACACTAGCTTGTGTAATGTGTGAACTTTCACTTGGTGTAAGTTTTTCAAGTACATTTATGGGATATCCAACTATGATGTGGTCATCTATGTATGTTATTCCTTTTTATTTCCATTGCAGATTCCATTGTATGGGTACATTGCATTTTAAAAAACATATTTATTGCACGTGTGTGCATATGTGTGTTTGTGTTTGTGTGTGTGTGTGTGTGTGTAACTTTCCCACCTTTACTTGGATTTGTTAATACAATTGAAAATGTCACTCTTACAGCTCCACCTCGTGGACAGTAGTGAAAATACTTTCTTTATTGTTTGGTTCAGTCACTAAAGGGAAGAAAATGATACGAAATTTTGCAGACATTTATCATATACCGGCCACCCCAAGTCCTTCTTGGACAGAGGTTTGAGATGGACATTTTAAATACAGCTCAGCTATGGGGTGCGGTGTATCTCGTTGGTAGAGCGCTTGCCTAGCATGTGCGAAGCCTTCCATGCTCTCCGCTGTAGGATCCGAAGCTCAAGGCTATCCTCAGCTACAAAAAGATCAAGGCCAGCCTGGGATCCGTGAGACCCCACACCTCATCAACAAATAAGTTAGTAAATGAATTGAGTGAAACTGGATGCTCTGAAAATAACTGGTTGAATCCACTCAAACTCGGTCCTCTCTGATTTGCAACACAACCATTCACTAAAATACCTTTTATTTAGATTCTTTCTGGTGACTACTGCTAACACCTTAGGGTTTTATGACAAGATACACTTCTGCAGTTCAGTTTTTCATTTATTTTCTTGAGATCAGGCTCTTTTAGTTTTCCCTGAGTGCTGGGGACTGAACTCCAGGCTGAATTCATGTGAGGCGAGTGGTCCACTACTGACCTACACCTCAGACCCAGTTCAACACGTTTTTTTAATAGCAAGCCAGATGGGAAACACCTGGAAGAGCGTGGCTGCTCACTCGGGCTTTGCTGACCTCATCTTGGGTCTGGGCTGCTTTTCTCCATCTTGTTTTCTCTTTGACTGGTGCCATGTTCTCTAGGTGGTCACTCACGCTCTGTTCTTCAGACTGGCTTCTGTGGGTACCTGGGAAGTGTTTTCCCCATGTGAAATTGGTCAACCTCCTTTCCCCCTCCTTCCTTCTCTTTCTCCCTCCCTCCTTCCCCAAAGAACAGCAGACCAGAATATCTAAAAATTTAAATTTAAGCACAATGCAATCAGCATGCAGGAAATGCCCATATTCTACTTGAGGTCTGTCTTCCTCTGAGAGGTCCCTTGGATTTCTTACATCAGTGCAGGTCCCCATGACTTGATCATGTCCCCCAATGTTGGTCCAGGCCCCGTGCAGTCCAAACCAGTTCTGGCCAGTGGGGAGAGCTTCTCTCTCCCCCTCTCCTTCTCTCCTTGCCTATATCCACCTCCCCCTCTTTGGGGAGGGAGCAACCTTTCACCAGTTACCAAACCAGAAACTTAGAAGTCAACCCTCTTGCATCTTTCACTCCTTCCCCTCCCAATGCAGTCTACCTAGCTTACTCTTTCTCTGTGTATTCCTCGAGGGACCCACTCCAGTCTCCTGTGACCGCCCTCAGTCGGCTCTCATCATCCTCACCCATGAAGCCCTAGCCAACAGCCAGCCAGCCAGTCTCGGCACGCACTCTGGGTTCTTGCCAGTCTGTTTTCACACCAAGGCATTTGTTCAAAATGTAAACGCTGCCAGGCCTATTAAAAATCCTTCAGGATTCTAATGCCCCCTAGTGTAGAATGCCATCTGGTGGGTCCTCGCCTACCAGTCCAGCTGTTTCTCACCCACTCTTCACCTTGTCCTCTGCCCTTCAGCCCTGCTGGCTTCTCTGTTCTTCTGGCAACCCCACCACAGAGCTTCATACCCACATGTTCATCTTCCACTCACCCAGTTACCTCTGCTCAGCCTTGCCACCTCAGCCTAGCTGACTCTTCCTCAGAGATACCTTTCCCCAAGCTTCTTGTAAGACTGGCACAGCAGACTCCCTTCCCTGTAAACACTGACCTCAGTTCTCAACTTGGAATCATTATGGTGGGTTTTTGACTCATGCCACCTCCTCAGGGATGTCTCAGTCCTTGAGAGGTGGGAGGAGGGAGGAGGCTTGCTGATCTTGCTGTGTGTTTGGTGCTGCTATTTGGGGATGTTCTAGAAACTTTGGGAATTGAAGTCTAGGTAGATGGACTGGGTCACTGAGGATGTATCCTTGAAGCTACACATTGTCCTACCCCCCTACTAGTGTCCTGTTCACCATGATATGAACTACTGTGCTCTGGTCCACCACCCCCCCCACACACACACCAAGATTGAAACCTATGAGCCAATGAGCCAATAGAAAGAATTCCTTTAAGTTGTTATCAGATATTTTGGTCAAAGTGACAGGGATACTAGAAGTTGAATGAATGAGTGAATGAATGAATGGATGGATGAATAAAAGATGATGTCTCAAAGGCAATTATGACAGGTAATAATATTGTTTGCCATTCATGTGTAAGTAAGATCAGGTCCAGGTGTGACTGAAGGTTGCATTTGGTCGGGACAGCTCAACACAATTCTGATCCAGTTGCTTTGGGTTATTTCTGCAGGATAAGGTGCAGGAAACCCAGGCTTGCCCATCCCTTGCCTAGTCCTAGCTTGTCTAGTGACATCAGTAAGCTTATACTTGAAAAAAAAAATAACTGGTATTTTCCTTCTGATAGTAAATTATTATTCTGAGGGATATTCTAGTCTAGGTTTCTCTTAATTAGGGCTTATATCGCTGTAATAAAATCATAAGCATAAGCAACTTGAGGATGAAAGGATTTATTTTCATTTACAGCTTGTAATCCATCACCAAGAAGTCTGGGCAGGAACTCAAGTAGAAACCTGGAGGCAGGAGCTGATGCAGAGGCCATGGGGGAGTGATGCTTATTGGCTTGTATCCCATGGCTTGCTTAGCCTACTTTCACAGAGCACTCAATACTACCTGTTCAGGGATGGCTCCACCCACAATGGGCGGGGCCCACCCACATCAATCAGTAATGAAAAGAAGCCACTAATAAGTTGTGTACAGGCAAAGCTTAAAGAGATATTTTCTCAATTAAAGGACCCTCTGCCCAAAAGATTCCACCTTGTGTCACACTGACATAAAACTCACCAGAACAAGGTTGATATTTCCAAAAGACAATATCTCCATCTCCTCATCATTTCATTCTCACTTAAAGGCATGGTCAGTTTAGGTCACTATTAAGAAAAGTTAATATATTCACCTTCATGGAAACAGCCTTTCCCTTGTTTGAGAAGCTCATGGGCAAACAATAAAGTCATTTCCTTCAAAACACAAGATGTTTAAAGGTAAACTGATAGCTCAGGAAATGTAGGGCTTGTGGGGAGGGTGAGAAGCCTTGAGTGAATGGAGTCCCGAGTCACTGTGTGTTGTTGACATGGGCATGGTCATGTCAAGGACCATAGCTTTAGACCAGGAGAAAATGGCAGAGCCTCCCTGCCCCCTTAGGGTGAGGCTCAGAGAGATGGCAAAGTCTTTCTGGGGTTGGTGTGTGGATGTCAATAGTGCAGAAAATGTCCATCATGGGTTTTCTCCCCAGATACTTATGGCCTGAGATGGCTCCCCTACGGAGACTGCTCCTACCAAGATAGGCTAAACCTGTCCCCTTGACCAGCCGTATATCATAAACCTTGCCTTCTCATTTATCAGGGCACAATAATCCTGCCTCCTTGTTCAGCTGTGTAGAATAACCCCACCTCACTACTTTCCTGAATGTAGCAAATATGCTGAGCTTCCATGCTATTGAGGCTTCCATCCAAGAGCCCAGTCCACCCATCCCAGCTTTTCTGTATGTCTGTGTGTCTGTCTTTTCTTCATTTGCTCACTACCACAGTCAGGTTCATCCTTGGAGCCATGCTGGGTGCAGCAACAGCTAATTCTCCATCTTAAAAACAAATCCAAATATGAGTGGGTGCTTCACTTCAAGATAAAATAAAAACTTATTTACACAGAATATTGACATGGATACAAAGTGAGGATACTTTTATGTATAACAATTGTTACCTTTATGTATAAACATAGGAACTTAATCTTTCCTTTGTTTATTTATTAAGAGAATTTTGTTCCAGAGATAGTTTAACATAAGTTACAACATATGAAATATGGCAAGCTAATATAGCTATAAAAAAGTAAAAATTCAAAGACCACGGGGAAAAAATCAAAGAATAAATAAAGTCAGAAGTAGAAAATAAAGGAATTGGGCTATTTCCAGCATGCTGTTGTAAGGAGCGCTTCGGGCGAGAGTTGCTGTATTTTCTCAGTCGTCATCACTGCTTTTTCCTTCTACAGAACCCTGCATCTGTTTATGTAGCAAGTGCACCTGTGCTCAGCCACACAGGAGGGACCACAGTTGATCTCAGAGAGTCATGAGCCCCTCGAGGACCTAGACTGTTCCTGGGACAAAAGAATGTCCTTATTGCTTGGGACTTAGCAGTGTCTCTTGGACTGGCTGCTTGCTGACAGAATACTTTCTAACATGCCTTCAAGCTTTCTAGTCATCAACCTCCAAAGAGACAACGTAATACTCTTAGAACAAACTCAAATTTGTTTTAGACCCAAACCTCCCCCCAAAATACAATATCGCTAATACCAAACGAGACTAGGCTCTGTAGGGTTCCACTTACTTGTCTAATGTATTTAAAATTCTGGATGAAAGCACCAATGATGAACATACCATGATCAGCAATCTGAGCCATAGGCTTCCTCTTTAAACACAATTTATTGCTTGCTCTGAAGTGTTCTTCTCCACATTCATCTCAGATTATATAATATTCTTGAGCCAAATGAAAGGGCATTTAATAAATTAATGTGGACACTGAGTGCAGAGACATTGTTCCTTGGAATCTGACCTTTGGTTTCCATATCCAAAGTGCTAAATCTGTGAGTCAGCAGAGAGGGTGTGTGATTGGGAAAATGTCTAGAGGCTTCTCCTGTACATCTTCTAGAAAGAATCTATGGTTAATCTGTGAATCTCTTCAGAAAATGTGCAGGCATTTAGCATAAGGGAGAAAGATCACATTCTTTAAGGAAGTTTTTCCCTCCCTGAATGCTGAGATGAGATTTTATTTTTGTAGACTCTTATTTTGTGTAGGAGCAAGACTGTCTCAACCTATGTTTATTGTTATAATTTATATCTAGTTCAGGAGAAAGAAACAAGCAGAATACTGGTAGGAAGAATGTGTCTCTCTGCCTGATGACTTGACCACTTGAGTCTTCAGCGCCCCCCACCCACCCGCCAGAGCTCCAGCCCACAGGGATTAGCCCTCTCTCCAAGCAGGAGGAAGCTCATTTCCACTTTCCTGAGAAGAATCAGCTAATGTGGCTATGTGAAGTATGTCCTTGGAAAGGAACACCACCCTTACCGGGAAGCCTTGAGGAGACTTGAGCTCTTGCCATTGCTAAAAGCTGATGATGTATTCCTGATGACTTCATCCCCAAATGAAAGTGAGCTCCCAGCTTCGGTCTTAGTGAAGTCTCAGAAAAAGAGCAGCTTGGAAAACATGAAGAGGAGAGACCATGTTTTCCCTTCTGAATTAAATGACAGAACCACTATTCAGACCCCGGGATAAAATCATTCTCAACAGCACTCATCATGATTGCAAAGGACAGCCAAGAGAAAAATGAGAAACTGCCAGTGGTATTTTTTAGTGGGGCTCATGAAAGGGGATTGTAGGAATTAAATGCTCACCCCTGCACTGGACCCTGTCATTCCATTTGTTCTGACCCTTCAGACAAGTTTCTAGTTTTCTTTTTAGAAGAAGGGAATCGTTCCATTCCAGTTGACAGTAGCCTCTCTCCATTTAGTTCTGACAGCCATTTCCACTGGAGAAAATCGTCTTCCTGATCCATGTTTATCCTCACGGTGCTCCCCTTCCCAGTGATGGGAGTGAGTGTCTGAGGATGGAATGGCAACATTGACATCCAGGCCCATTGATCTATTCCCAAAGACACCAGCACACGAGGAAAAGAGACAAGGTGGGTGGAGCCGGCCCAGGAAGCCTTAGGACTCAATGGAGGGAATTCTTGCAGATGGTGTGTCGAAATACCTATTCAGAATTCGTCTGTAGGAGCCAGGCTTGCTGTGTGTTGGGATGTGAATATTCATGTCATTTAATGCAGCATGATGTGACACATAAGATCAGGCATTTGTCACTGATATTATCAGGAAACAGGTGAAGGGAAAGCTCCTTGCTTTTTAAGAAGAGATGTTCACTTGGGGGTAGAGTCTAGGAAGGGAACCTGGAAGTTGTTTTCAAGGCCTAGGTTTGTCTCATGTGAGCCAAGTGACATTTGAGAAGTACTTCAAATACCATCGCCATGCTTCATTGATTCATTTAGTGGCTAAACATAGCAACTGTACAACTAAAAATAGATATTAGAGTACCCGCTTCATATGGATGTTTAATGCTTGTGTTACATACGCCCTCAACACAGTACTCAGAATAGAACATGGGGGATGTTTGTAAGCTGAAAAAAAATGGAGCTTACTTCATAGGTAAGATAAAGTAAAAATGATATAGATATAATGTGGCCAATGTCACACTAAAGTACATGAGTTAATATGCATTTCCCATAATTAAAGAAAAAATAGGAGCTACACAGACATGTTCTTAGTGCCATTTCTAGATGCAGTGAGAACAGCAGAAAGTGAGTTGACCCCAGGCTTCTGATGCTAAATGCAAAGTCAGTCATGGACAAAATCCCCAAAATGGAGCCGAGGTTGCTGGGCAGAAGTCAGGTTTGTCCACTGTTACAATCTTGTCAAAGGTGCCAATGTTTAAAGACACCTTAATATTAATCATTTTTCCTCATGAATTTAAGGAATGGGAATTGTAATTGAGACAAAAAAAGAAAAACAAAAGCAAACAAACACAAAAAAACCAGTCTGCCTGTCTGTGTTTCTCCCAGGACCTGCTAAAGGTTTGCTAGAACGTATGCGCGGGGGAGTCCCTGCATCTGGCTCATAGTTTGCCCTCAGAAGTGTCTTTTGAATTAATATGAGCAGAACTGCATTCTTACTTCAGCTGCTCATGTTACTGGATGATCGCCTTGTGTTTGCCTGTGTGCAGGATTGGCCAGGTGGAACTGTGTCTCCTTTGCCTCTATACACCTTTCTTGGGGCATTGGACACCTCAAACTTAAAGACAGGGCCCTGGAGAAAGATTTCTGGAAATCTGACTCCTCAACCTTTATTATCTTATCTAGAATTTATTTTTCTGTGTTCTTTCTAAGGCTAACACACACACACACACACACACACACACACACACACACACACACACACACACATTTTTAAGCCCCCCATGACAATGGATTTAGGCCTAGGCTGGGGCTTCATTCTAGAAACTGAGTCTGAGTATGTCTTGCAGTGGTAGCACAAATAACCACACAGCTGTTAAACAACGACAGCCACATCTCTGAGTGCACTAAAGCACACACTTGGAGTCTCAAGTGCTCACCTATTGTAAGTTGCACAGGCTTTTTCTGTGAGGGCTGCCCACTGTAAAAGTGCAGATCAAAGACACGCTCCATTTTCCAGTCTGATAAGAGCTGCCTGTTTGTGCAGAAAAGGATGCTGTAATTTCCACTGATGTTGCACAGCCAAATAGGAAATGTGGGAGTCTTCAGCATGCTGCCCACCTGGAATGGGAGAGGAGAATGCAGATGAGCATCTAGATCTTTCTAAATAACGAAAGATGCTGACACCTTCTCCCGTTTAAAAAGAAGTTCGGAGCTTCTTGTTGCACATGTAGCTTGCTGGCCATTGTATGTGGTATAAAATTCAAATCCAAGGCTTTATGGAGAATGACTTTACACCTACAAATGGTTTGGAAGAATAGCAATGCCTCACTTGGCTCTGAACAGACTGTACTTTTTAAAATGCAGTGGCCTCAGGGAGAAGGCAAAGCTTTTCTAGTTTGGCTTTAAGGTGAGGTAATGTAAAGTGAACTATAAATATAGATGTGGAAAATGAGAAAGCCAATTCTGTCTGTGTCATTGGCTAGTGTAATTGCTCCCAGTGTAATTCCCAAGATTGGGTGATGTTCCATGCAGCAGACGTCAACTTTCTGGTAACACTAACCATTTATATTGGAGGAAAAATCTTCTAGGAAATGTAAGAAAGACACACTTGTGCACACTTAGACCTACGAGTTGGCCTATAGATTAGATTACTGGTGAAGACACAGATACAGTAGAGTATATTGTTGGTGGGTTGGAATGGAGAACAGTGAAGAATTCATCCAAGTTAGGTGAAAGTAGAAAAAGGCAGGCTTAGTGCATGGCGGTGGGCAGAGCAGAGACAGAGTGGCCTGACACAGGATAACGGACTGGTCCTGTTTGTATGTGGGAGCCGCTCTCTTTTCAGTTTCCTCCAGCCTCCTGCTATGCAAATAAGGGACCAAGCATGGCAGTTCTTATTGGTCAATTCTTGGCTCTAGGGTTTACAGGATAGCAACTCTGTTATAAGGACATGGTTGATTTTGATTGTTTTTTTAAAGTGGTAAGATGGATCCTCCAGAGGTTGATACCAGTCGTAATATACGGTTCAGTAGACCATGACACTGTAGTATGTTGCACTGTAGATGGCCTAGAAAGTTTCCAGTTGTATTTTGTGAACTCAAGGGACTCCTATAGTGTCCCAGACTTGTTTGTTCCCCACATTTGTGCTTGATAGAACAGCAAGGCCAATCTTGGGTGCTGGGACTGAGGGTCTTTTCTTAAGGCTGAATAGGTTTGTATTATCACTGTTCTACTGACTGTAGCTGTTCTGTCAGGGCACCGTGGGAGGCAGTCATGAAGGGGAAGTTGGCTGGTCCACAAATAAATGTCTGCTGGCCTGTTCTAAAGGCCCTGTTGACAATGGATTGTCTGCTGGTATTTGCTGGAATCCATGCCAAAGCATCATCAGGACCTAGATTTGTTTCTATATTCTAGGGAAGACAAATTTGACAATTCAGTTAAAACTCTGGGCACCAGACACAGGGATCAGGTAGATGGCAGCCAGTGGTTTCAGAAGAAGGAGCAGCCAGAGGAGCTATTCAAAGTGTTTTTCCCAAGACAGCCAGCCCTGGGAGGCTCTCTTTCAGATTTTAATGGCTTGGCTTTTGAGTCTTTCTTTTTCACTACTTCTTAAACCGTTTTTGACTTGTGAGTACAGTCTAGAGCCAGACAGATGCCTCCTTGAGCAGCCATTACTAAATAAATACCATAGCAGTTTAGGGGGAGGATGGACCAACTCAGTCCTGTATGATTGGAGGACATTTGAGATGTAGTCTAGAGGGCAACTGAAGCCAAAGGCCAGAGACAGGTACCACAAAGAGTTACTAGGTCTAAGGTTCTGGACAGATAGGTTACAGGGCAGGTGGCTAGCCCCAGCACTGGGCAGTTCCCCTTCTTTCATGACCTGTAAGGAGAAGGGTTTTCTTAGGGCCAAGGGCAGTGGCTAAGGCCTGTTTGTGAGACTGGGAGCCTTATCCATACTGAGGCCTGGTTTAGAGATTGCTCTTCTGGACCATGTAGGGTCTCAAAAAGAGGTTTAGCCACAAGTCCAAACAGAAATACAGATATAGCAGTCAGTACCTGCCCTTACCAGAAAGGAACACAGTTGTTATTTATGCCCATGTCCGAGGTTGATTCCTTGACAAGCTGGACAAGTGTCACAGAACTGAGAATCAGGATGTACTTGGATAAAGAAGGCATCCGTGAAGTCAGGGACTAAACCTGGGTATTTGTCCTGAGAGAGTATAAGATTTGGTTCAACAAGATATGGAGCAGCCATGATGGCTCTACGTCTTGTCCAAGTTGGTTGAGGACCATCAGGCCTTTGTCTATGGGTGTTTCCAGGATTTACAGGGGCAGTGTAGGTTGGTGGCCTAAAGTTATGAAAGGAGGCTGTAGCCATCACTGGGCCTCAGGCTTGATGGGGTATTGGGAGCACCAAGGAAAGGAATTAAGAACCTCGAGAAAAACTTTCAGGGGTTTCAGACAGCATCATCCAGGCATAATGATGTCCCAGGCTTCAGGGGAAGCTTTTGAAAACAACTGTATTGCCGTTTCTGAGAAACTTCACATTCAAGATTATTAAAGTAACTTGGAGTCCTTGTTGAATCCAGGAAACTAGAAAGGGGCCACTGATGCAGGGGAGTGAAGCTGAAAGGGGGAATAATGGGGACGCAGGTTTAGGTGGGGAGAGGGATGGGAGGATGTGGTAGAAGGGGGGTGAAGGGGGTAATTAGGGATATTTGAAAAGGTCCATATGGAAAGTATTTTATAATATATGCCCATATATTATATGCTATATGTATATATATGTATGCTATTATAAATTGCTATTGGATATCTACCATAACTTAATGGTGAGAGCCTATTGCTTGAAGACACCACATACTTTGATCACAGGACATGAAAAAAATTAAGTTAGAACTGACAATAAAGCTTCCTCCCTGATGGCTAGCTTTTATAGTACTGGAAGGTGTTATGGAGGCTTCCAGTGGGATAGGGGTGGTCATTAACAGTTTTACCTAGATGTGAACCTGTGGGTTTCAGTAATGACTCAGTTGGCAAGATATCTCATGGGTATAATAGTGGCATGAGTGTTAAAGGGTTAACTAACTACTTTCTGATAGGATTTAAGGTCTGCTCCACAGGAGGAAACACATGTCTGGTACTTTAAATATGACCAAGAACCCATGTTTGGAAGCTCAAAGGCAATGGAGTGACCCAACTGCTATTATTTTGCTAAATGGCCATAGTATCAAACTGTCTTCTAAATTCGAAACTCTACACCCACAGACGAGTGCAAATCTCAGACATCATCTGAGAATTTCTTTGCACAGTGGTTGGTGGTTAATGCAAAAACTCACAACTTACCAAAGTATAGAAAATAAATGTCACTGGAGTGCTCAGACACCAGTGGGACATTTGTATCACCCCTCCCCAGCCAAGGCTCAGGGACCTTCTTTGAGGAAGGGGTAGAAAGACTGTAAGAGCCAGAGGTCAGGGAGGGCTCGATGGAATCAGTGTTATCTGGACACAGTAGGATTTCTGCACTTATGAACTGACAGCAGCAGTAGTTGCCTGGAAAAGATCTGCTGAAGATCAAGCCAGTTAACATTATAGCAGGGAGGAGCTCACAAGCCCCTGCCCCTGACTGAGAAGCTATTGATAGTTGATGGCTTCTGGGGGAGGGACAGCCAATTTTCTTTAAGGGTTTGGCCCCTAGTAGGTTGGCCATACTTCAGTGGGATTAATCAAAAACAATATCCAAAAAATATGTTTCCAAGGGCATAAATTTTGGAAAGTAAAAGTAAGTATGCTGTAGAATAATTCTTCTGTATACTGTAAAGATTTGTCACTGGAATTGGTTTAATAAAAAGCTGACTGGCCAGTAGCCAGGCAGGAAGTATAGGTGGGACAATCAAACTAAGGATAATGGGATGAAGATGAGTCAGAGGAGACACCACCACATGCAGAGGAAGCAGGACATGTAAAAAATGAGGTAACAAGCTATAAGCCATGTGGCAGAGGGTAGATAAGAAATATGAGTTAATTTAAAATGTAAGCATTAGCTAGTAGCAAGCCTGAGCTATTGGCTGATCATTTACAATTAATATAAAGCCTCTGAGTGATTATTTGGGAGCGGCTGCTGGTACAGGAAAACTCCACCTACATAAGTATACCCTCACATGTTTTCCCACTATCTAAACTTAGTTGTAGAATAGGTAACTTCATGGCCTTCCAATTACATACACAGCTTCTACAGAGATGCATAGTTGTGTTTAAGAACCTGGCTGCATCTGAGTCAGGCCTTCAAGTCTCATAACCTGCTGGTGGTGACCCTGCACCTTCAAAAGCCCCTGGGTGTCATAATATTATAGTGCATTTCATCAATGATGTCTATCATTTTTAAAGGCAGGGAAGCACATTTTTCAAAAGAAAGTTTTCCACCATTAAGGTTTAAATATTAAGGATTTTTTTTTAACTTGAGATGGTGGCTCATCAAGTTATAATTGTAGTACTCAGAAGGCAGAGGCTGGAGGATCACAAGTTCAAGATCAGCCTGGGCTGCACAGTAAATCCTAGACTAACCTGAACCATAGAACCTTGTTCTTAAAATAAGAACAAGGAAACAACAACAAAGTACCAAAGCATCTTTGTTTTTTTCCTATTTAAAGAGACAAACATGAGCTACTTAGAAAACACCATGATTTCTGCATGAAGTTGGGAAGAGCAACTGGCCTCAGAGCTTGTGTTCCTGGAGTGGAACAGTCCCACATTACCCTTCCCTTCAATCCTTCAGTGCTGTTTGTTCAGGAACCAACTCTATTTTACAGAAAGCAGGCTTTGTAAGATAATTACATGTGTTATAGACTCAAGTTTTACAGGCTAATAACTCAACACTTTCCCCCCCTCAATAGTTCTATTCAAATTGCTTCGTTTGCTTTAAATTCTTCCGTTGTGAGCAAACTGGAGTTAATTTTGTCGTTAAGTGTTTCACTTTTGGTTACCTAGAAAAATTTTATTATTGTTCTTAAAGTGAGGCTCCTTCCAGTTAATAAGTTAAGAAGGACACATCCCTAACCCAGCCAGGACACACTCACAGCACACGCTCTTCTATCGGCATGAGAATTGGTGCCTCT